GAGGAAGCTAACAAGAAGAGTCACGTCAAAAATAGGAGTTGTGGCCTGGTAGTGAAAACTATCGAATTTTACACCAGCCTCAAACTCGACTTCCATGTGCTCAGTCTTGTAAGCAGCGTTAGAAGCATTAATGCGGGCCTTAACACCTTTAAGAGAAATCGCAGCCAGTCGGGTCACGGCTTCATCTTTCTGACCTAAGTTTTGAAAGAGATAGTCCGCCCATGCAGTATGCATAAGACTCCCTCCGCGCATCCTAACGACATGAGCACATATGTGGAAGTGGCACATCAACTCCCAGAAAGTCGCATAAACCTCTGGGTGTGCCTCTCTCAAAATAGAGAGCTCTTCAGTAGTAGGGATGAACTCTTCATAGGGCATCTGACCGAATGGTAGCCCAGATACCGTTTGTATCTCGTGGAGAGCAAAACCTAACTCCCCTACAGGTGTGAAGATTGTATAGCTGTCCGGGTTGTATCTCTCCAATATAGCGAAGAAATTGGGATAACTTTGCACAATCCCACATCAATTATGAACTGCATTTTCATCTCTAGCTGTCTGATGCTCTCTCTCAAAGCTTTCGAGCGTGGGGCAAGAGCAGTTGGGTAGATCAAACCTGTATATACATTACGAGTAGATGAAAGAACAGTCTCTGAAGGAGGGTCGGCATGTGTACCCTGATTTCGGACTAGAGAGGGGGAAGTAGATTCTAAACCCCCAACAGGCAATGCCTCCTTGGCTCCCGCATCCTCATGAATGGAAGGAAGTGATCGAGGCGCTTCATCCTCTTTGTCATTTAAGAGCGCGACAGATGCAGACTTCATGGTATCCCCCATTAACTTGGCCCTCTTGGAGTTCTTAGCTGCAATGGGCTTTTGCTTGCGAATTTTTCTATCATATTCAACTTCCTCTTCAGCTGTAAGGGCCTTTTTACCTGATCTTAAAGAGCGAGGTTCAAGAGTGGTCGCTTTCTCAGGAATTTCCCCAGCCACCTTGTCTTCAGGAGGATCAACAATTAATGACCCCTCTCCAGTCCCCATATGAACCTCTTCTTCAGAGGGCTTAATGGTGGGCAATGCCTACTAGGCTTCAACAGCTCCGACCGATCCTCGTTCACAGGATAGATACTCTTCTATTCCCGGCAAATGAGTCTTAGTGGAACCGCTTCTCGATTTGTATAATTCCCGAATCTCGCTTATACATGAAGTGTAGATATCGTATTTCGTGATTTGAGAAACATCATTAAACTAGTTGCGGAAGTCTGCTACAACGGAACAGCTAGGCGGTGAGTTGGGTAATGTGAAGTGCGCATGAGTTCCTCCGACAGAGAAGAAGTACCATGCACGGGCACCTTCGTACAAGTTCCCAACTTGAGCCAACGTCAGGTTAGGATTGCCAACATAAAGCTGATCATATCTGAACTGTCTGGCGAATCGAGAAGGCGTGTAAGGTTCAATGATGCACTTCTCTCTCAAGCGATAGACCAGATAGCTCAACCTGATCATGAGAAGCCATCTGAAGGTGCCTTCATCCAAAGAGGACGAGCCTTCGAAAAGCACGTCGGTAAAGTTGGCACTCTCTTCATCAGCTCCATCAAAATCAGGAGCGTAGCAGAAAATTCTGTAAGCGTCTTGTTGAGATAAAAGCAATCGAGCCCTGACTATATAGGTATTAGTCCATGTAGCCGACTCCAACCTCTGCACAAAGGGAATATAGGCGTCATCATCTTCAGATACCCCCGTCATCAATGAAGGGCTATGTAGCACGAACCAAGCCACCAAGTACGTATACGGCACTGGTAGTCCTAGCTTTCCTCCTAGTAGCCTTAATTCCCTGGACGCCGACAAGTTCGGAGGTCAACATCCGTAAGCCACTCTACACGCAGCCTACCATAGCAGTGAGGAGGCTCACAGGCCTCCCGTGAGCTAATAAGATAGCTGGGTATACAACCTCAGCTAATATCACCTCGATCGGCTTCGACGGTACTACACACCGCTTCAACCAGATCATGAGGAAGCTAACAAGAAGAGTCACGTCAAAAATAGGAGTTGTGGCCTGGTAGTGAAAGCTATCGAATTTTACACCAGCCTCAAACTCGTCTTCCATGTGCTCAGTCTTGTAAGCAGCGTTAGAAGCATTAATGCAGGCCTTAACACCTTTAAGAGAAATCGCAGCCAGTCGGGTCACGGCTTCATCTTTCTGACCTAAGTTTTGAAAGAGATAGTCCGCCCATGCAGTATGCATAAGACTCCCTCCGTGCATCCTAACAACATGAGCACACATGTGGAAGTGGCACATCAGCTCCCAGAAAGTCGCATAAACCTCTGGGTGTGCCGCTCTCAAAATAGAGAGCTCTTCAGTAGTAGTGATGAACTCTTCATAGGGCATCCGACCGAATGGTAGCCCAGATACCGTTTTCATCTCGTGGAGAGCAAAACCTAACTCCCCTACAGGTGTGAAGATTGTATAGCTGTCCGGGTTGTATCTCTCCAACATAGCGAAGAAATTGGGATAACTTTGCACAATCCCACATCGAGTAGCTAATACTAGGATTGTGAGACCCGATTGAGTGAACGGTTCCTTAAGCGCCTCAAGAACAAAGTCCACCATCCGGGTTCGCCAACCATCTTCTCCAGAGAACAACCAGCCAGGAGAACGAAAGACTTACGTAGAAAATTCACCCCGAGCAGCAATAAACTGGCGAATAAAAATATTCGCTGGAAGTGACACTTCTTGAGCAAGACCCTTTTTCTCAAATAGGCTGGGCCTCAAACCCTTGAGTTGTCCCCCAATTTGTGTGCAAGCTTGTCGACCAAATCCAAGCGACACATTACCCTTGAGTTGTCCCCCAATTTGTGTGCAAGCTTGTCGACCAAATCCAAGCGACACATTTTCTTTCTCCTTGACTATATCAAAAGCAAGCTTGTCGACCAAATCCAAGCGACACATTTTCTTTCTCCTTGACTATATCAAAAGTCAAACCCCGGTGACAGCTCACGTTCAAAAAATAGGAGAGTGGATACATCCTCTTTATATTTGGGAGAAAGAGGAAGCGGTTGTTGACCCTCCATAGCAGCTTTGAATCTTCTGCATGTATAAGGCTGTCGTCGACTGCTATATGATCTTCAAATATGAACGCCGGTTTAGGGAATTGATCATGGCCAGCAGGTGTCTCCAAGTCCAAGTTAGTGATCAAAGCTCTGAGAATAGAGCATCGTGGGAATCTGAGCATGTTCGTTCTCTCCGAGTCAGGGAAAGTGCATAACGGGATGCTTCCGCGAAGGTTAAAAACTTCATTCGTGTCAGGGCCGCCAATGTACCCAAAGTGGTTCTCTTGCAAAAGTGGCACATTCGGAAAGAACACTGCAAAATCAAAAACAACAGTTGGTAACAGAAATAGGTTGCTAACACAAAAAGTAGGTTATAACACGAAGGACAAATTCTACGTGTCAAGGCTTAAATACAAGGGCCAACCCTTGTATCAACACTTGAACGCAGAGGTCAAAACCCTGTGTCATAATATTCAGATGCAGAGGCAAAGACCCACGGTTAGAATTGAAACGCAGAGGCCAAGACCCGCGTTCAAATATCATACCCTAACATAGAGCCTTAACTCTACGTTTCTTAAACACAGAGTCCCAACTCTGTGTTCTCAATTTTTTTTAACATAGAGCCTTAACTCTACGTTTCCTAAACGCAGAGTCCTAACTCTGCATTTTCAATTTTAACACAGAGTTACGCTAACTGAAACGAGTCATTTTCCTCGTTGTCAAGAACTCATTTAGGGTTTTGCAGAAAACTTGTCAAAGCAAGTTATTATGATCACCGCCTACCATGACAGGAAGGCCCACGCGATGGTGACGGCGATGGCGATGTCCTCGCAGAAACAAGAACATCGCTGGCGTTTCTGGCCAACGGCGTCTCCGAAGTCACCCCAACGATCTTTTTGGAGCCAGAGCTCATTCTCCTTGGTGCCATTGATGCAGCTGATCAGAGAAGATGGTTGTCGATGGAGATGCGGGTCGAAGATAAACGAGCGTTCTCGTTCTTAGAACTAAGCCAAAAATAGAAAGAGTTGAATGACTCTTGATTTGACCACACAGGTTTATTTATAACAGCCGTCAAGCTGTTAAATCGGTGTGGGATTCTAGGAGAGAATCCCAACCATCTCTGAAACGTGATCTTCCGCGTTAGTAGATAAAGTCGATTGGACTTTAACACAGAGTTCACTTCTGCGTTCAATCCCCAAACGCGAGGCCTAGACCTGCGTTGTGAGAGTTCTTAACTCTGCGTTTCGAACCTCAAACGCAAAGGCTACCTTTGTGTTGCAACTATTCTAAACAAAGGATCCACCCTTGTATTTTCAAACATGATATTTATTTTCTAAGTTCATGAATTCTTTCCACAGAGTGTTGTTAAACCTCTGTATCATCTCAAAAGAACCTAAATTGTTTCAGTTGACAAAACTCTCATCAGTTTAATGATACACTTCTGATAACTAGCATCCTCACAGTATTTGAATTTAACTTGCGACACTACTAGAAACAAGACTTTTAGTGACGGACAAATCTGTCGCTAAAACTCGAAAATCCGTCGCTAAAACCTTTAGCGACAGAAAAATTAAAATTCCGTCGCTAAAATACCATCAGTACAGTGATGGTAGCTAAAATGACCTTTGGCGACGGATTTTCCGTCGCTAAATGTCAGCGACGGAACATTAGCGACGGCTAATCCGTCGCTCTATTTTTTTTAAAAACAAAAAAACAAAAGCGACGGATTTTCCGTCGCTAAAAAACATTAGCGACGGATTTTTCGTCGCTAAAAATGACATTAGCGATAGAATATCTGTCTCTATAAGAATTTTTAAAAAAAAGAAAAATTATTTTTAAAAATTGAAAAAACCTGTACAATAATATAATAAATTAAAAACCCTATTCAATCAGTCGTATAATATTCATTCTCACGTATATATAACACAAATATTTTAATAAAAATATCCCAACATAATAAATATTATTTATACAGCACACACCATGATAAATATTGTTTATACAGCACACACTCATTCATTGTTTTTAAAGGTAAAAAACAAATCAGTCCTTCTGATCATCATCATCATCATCCTCATCACCAGCATCACCTGCAAATATAAGTCCCGGCCTGCAAATATAAATCAAACGTTAACAACATGGTATGACATGCAAGTATAGAATTAAGATAGAGTATCATGGCATATTCTTATGTATTACATGTTTCGGAGAGAGTATTGTGGCATATACTTATGTATTATACGCACGCACGCACAATTTTTGCAACACCGCATGCACACACCTTAACCCCACCCGCAATTTTCTCACCATACGCGCATGCACGCGTACACGCACACACGCGGATACGCATGCACGCATGCACGCACGCGTACACGCGTGCACGCATGCACCACACTCCACACAATTAATATGGAAACAAACTAGTTATCAAAACCCATCAACTATTAATATCCAAGCATGAACCAACACACAATTAATTTGAAAGTAATATCCAAGCATAAAGTAATATCCAAGCATGAACTAACACACAATTAATTTGAAAGGTAAAAACAATACTCAGATTGTTATATCAACTTTCCCTTAAATCATCAAATACATGGTTGTCATCTACAATGTATAAGCATAATATGTTGTAGTTCAAAGATCTAAACTGATAGGGAAACAAACTACTTATCAAAGTCCATCAACTATTAGTTTGAGATTATTTTCTTCCTTCATAAACAAACATAGAGTAATATCCAAGCATGAACCTCAAGAGCAATATAATTTAGAATTCAAAAACTAAAAGGTTTCATTACACAATTTAATCATTGTATCTTTTCAAAAACTAGAAGGTTTCATTACACAATATAAATGGTCCTCCTCCCAGTTTGATTAAAATAACTCCAGCCTCAAACATCAGCAGGTTTCATTACACAATTTAATCATTGCATCTTTTCAAACATAATTCTCTTCTCATTCTGACTGTATATTATTCTAAAACTAGAAGAGCAAACTCTAGTGTCGTTCAACTATGTCTAATTCCATATAAAACCCATGGAGTTAATGGTTAGGAGTCTTAGGACTTAAGAGATAGACATACAATATGGATTCGAGAAAATATTAAAAATCGAAGTCAATAATTGCACAGATCATGTTGGGGTATTTTTTGTCCTCTCTGATTGGATAGATTGTAGTATAACTAAAGACCAAAAGACCCGTTGATATTGTATTTTTCATTTTTTAGAAAAGTAATATAAAACAATCCCATTAAATCTAAAAACAGAACCTTGAAAAAAAGTAAAATTAATAAAGCAAACAGAATATGGCCAATACCCGACAATATGGACATGAAATAGCAGCAGAGTTACTTGATTTCCCAGCCTTGTCTTTTATCTGCAAAAACTTACAACAAATAAAGAAAATTGCATAAAAGGAACTTCAACCCCAAAAAAATAGTATATCGTAAAAACTTTTTAATAAATTGCATAAAAGGAAGTTCAACCCCAAATCCAGCCCTTAGTTTACCATCGATGCTCATCAGGTCAAAGAAGGGCAAATCAGTTGGTTTTGAGGGCACAGTCCTGAGTTTTCCATTCCAAAGAACTGAAACAAACATTAAAATTAGTTACCTCATCAATATCACACATGACAACTTTTTCTACAGTGTTGTGCCTAAGAATTTCCCTTGTAGTGGACCCCTCTTCTCCTCCCATTATTAAAATAGTCTTAGGACTGAAACAAACATTAAAATTATAAAGAGGAAAATGCATTGTATTAATTAATTTATATATTTTCTAAAAACCAAAATAAATCTTAAATGACTTAAAGAATTGTACTCTTGGTGGCAGAGCAATGCTAGATGAGGTAGGGACTCATGATATATGAATTCATCAATCTTTGCACTCTAAAGCTTTCCATCTATAACTAAAGCCTGCAGTTAATTAGAATAAACAAAAAGCAGAGGTAGAGATAAGTAAGTATAAAATGATCTATATTATAACATGATTTACTGTTAAAACAGTCATAATTATATTTTAAACTTATCCTTACTTACTGTTAGAACAACAGTCATAATTATATTTCTAACTTATCCTAACTTTATTTTTAAAATTATCAAGGAAATATATTGAGTTAATTCAGCAGTAGCTAACTTCATCAATGATACAGTAGAATGTCAAACAAGCAAAAAATTTCCATACAAAAATATCACAGCCTCTTTCTACGCCTGTGCAAACCCCAATCTAATGCATTGCAGAAAACTTTATTCTCAGTCAACATCTTGTCAAAAATTACATAAAAGAGTCACATTAGAACGTGCAGACCCACGGTAAGTCAGTAGAAAACTGGAACTAATATCTTAACATTTATAAACATAGTTAACCTACATCACGGGGATTTAA